TGGCGGCGCACTGGGGTCCCTTGGGGGTGGAAAGGGCGATCCCATGGGGGTGCAATGGGGGTCCCTTGGGGGTGCCTGGGGGTCCCATGGGGGTGCAACGGGGGGATCCCATGAGGTTGCAACGGGCATCCCATGTGAGACGCGGCACCCCGCGCCCCGGTTTGGCCAAGCGACCCCGACCCCACCACCTCCGGATTTGGGGTGTCGGGTGGGCCCCCCACTCACCATGGCTGCCACCCCGCTCCCGCCAGCCTCCGCCCCCGCTGGGGCGAGCGCCCGCCTGAGCCCCGGCACAGCTCGTTACGCCGCTGCGGCCTATGGAGGGTGACGAAGGGTGACGAGCAAAGGATGTACCTGGGATGGGAAAACCAATGGGGCCGACGGGAGGGACGGGCTTCCTCGCTCGCCTCCTTTAACTCTTTCGGGGGGTCCCAAACCCCGATTTGGGGGTCCCCATGTCCCGCCCAGCTGCTGAAAGCATCCCCCCGATAAATCGCGGCGGCTCGCTCGCCGGCAAAGGGATGCGGCGATTCTCCTCCGAGCGTGCAAGCGTGCAATCCTGCAAGCGTGCGATTGTGCAAGCGTGCAGTTTGCAAGCGTGCAAGAAGACAATGGTGCAAGCGCCCAATTCTTCAAGCACGTGGTCGTGCAAGCAGACGGTCGTGCACGCATGCAAGCATGCAACCATGCAAACACGTGCCTGTGCGAGCAAGCGGTTTTGCAAACAGCCAAGCACGCAGTTGTGCAAGGGGGCACACGTGCAATTTTGCAAGCGTGCGCACGGGAGACGGTGCAAGCGTGCAAGCGCACGTTTGTGTGCAAGCTCACAAGCCTCCAATTGTATGCAAGCATACAAGCACGCGATCGTGCAAGTGTGCACGCGCCCAGTTGTGCAAGCCTGTAATTTTGCAAGCATGCAATTGTGCAAACTTATAAGCGTGCAAGTGTGCAAGCGTGCTCCTCGGGCCGCAGCCTTGCCCCCCCCGTGTGTTTAACAGCCCCTCGAAGGGTTTTGGGGTTCGAGCCTGGCCGGGTTTGCGCACGCGGCCTCGCGGCGAGGAGTTCCCCAGATTGCGGCTTTCCGTGTGCCGGGCTAACGAGCTTTTTAATTAGCTTGCCGTCACGGCAGGCACCCCCCCCCCCGTTGCACGTAGGGTGACAGGGACGGGGAGGGGGACACGCAGGGTGCCACCGCCTCGGTCCCCCGCGCCACGCCGGCGGGCTGAGCACTGCCGCGCTCATCTCACGCAT